ACTGACCCCATAACAGAGTTTGAAGATTTCCTTTCAAAATTTTATGGGTTTTTCTTTCAATGGCCCCAACACCTTCAGCCAAATCAACTCAAATGGCTCATACATCTTTTTCCGAAATCAAATCAAACCCATTAGGTTTGGATCTGCTTGTTGTTGTTGTTAAAGACAACCCAATTGGGTTCGGATCCTGATCCATTACAGTACTGGTGTTACCACTGCGACAAACGGGTCTCCATTAAAACCCTCCCCGACGTGGTCAGTCACAAGTGCAAAACGACTTCTTATGTGCCCCTTCTCCCTCCGATCCTTCTCAACGGGTTGTCGCCGACATCGACCTCACCCACACTGACATCGCTAGCTACCTCCCACTGGAGCTTGGTCTCCTCACCGATCTCTCCCTTTTATGCTTTTCAACATCCTCCATTAGATGCACATACTGAGGTGTCATCTGAATCTGCTCTTTCGCAAAATCAGTGCTCTGCACCTGTGAACAAGATACTGCAGTCAGTGATGCACCTCCCTTGGAAAATAAGATGTCTGCTCTCCAACACATCTTCTCTTTCTCTCTGAGTCGGAAACCTCTACATTATCAGGGTATTCTTGATATGATAAATGATGATGCTGATAGACCTGCTCAAGTTACCAATGCATCAACTTGGGCGTCTGCCATCCTCCGCCTCCCTGGAGTTTCTCTCTCCGGGTGTTTAAACCCATCTTTCACTCACATGGGCTTGTCCCTGTTCTCCCCTCCTATTTTAAACTTTTCCCAAAGTGTTTGATCTGCCAAATACGTGGCTACAAACAAATACCAAACACACTATTCTCACTAAACTTTTCTTTACACTCATCTTCCCCACTACCCACTTTTATTTTATTTTATTTTATAATCAACATACCCATCATTCTTTTCACCACTAAAACATATTCTACTAGCCTTCATTGATTCAGTGGATTCCAAAACTTTATTTATATATTATTATTATTATTATCTCAAAAAAAAAAAAAAAAAAAAACCTCTTTTAACATCTCCACTCTATGTTGAGTCGTTCTGCTCTACTTTGTCAATTCCTTTGTTTCAACCTCCAATAGGTTTCTATCTTCAAACCTATTTGAGTTTGAGGAGGCTATTATACATATATCATGGTGAGCATGTTTACACACCATGCGAACCACCCAAGCCACCCCATGGCGCACTCCCTAAGTCGCCCTCTTGGTGCACCACCAAAGTCTTCACCAACGGTCTAACACGACCATATAGTGTCTGCTACAACGGTTTGACACGACCATACAGTGTCTTCACCTACGGTCTGACACGACCATATAGTGTCTTCACCAACAGTCTGACACAACTATACAGTGTCTCCTATCCTATTTTATTTTATGTATTAGTTTATTTTCTTGTTTTGTTACTCTCTCCAAACTCAAGTTGGTTTGTGCCTATCTTCCTTGAGTTTGAGGGGGGCTGTTAGTGTATTATATCGTTAGTGTATTATATGCTGTTATTAGCCGCAAAGTGTCCAAGCTGGTCATGATGTCTTTGCTTTCGGTTCTTTTAAAAACCAACCTCTGTACACTCTTCTATAAAGAAGAGTAAACTTCTCATTGTGTAATATACTGAATATATCAATATACATTATTCTCTTTCTCTATACATTAATACATTAAATTAACACTTATAATGCATCAAAAATTTTACTGTTAATAAGCTTGACACAAAAATTCTTTTCCAACTTAGCCCTGATACACAACATAACATGTAGGCAAAATGCCAAACAGCAGGCCATTGCAGTAGTGGAAAACATGAGCAAGTTGATGATTAAATGACTAATACACATTTAATATAGCTCTACATAAATATTCTGGCATTTACCTTATTCTTCAAGGCTTACACATCTTAACCCTTCTCAAATCCCGCTTTAGCATATGCTTCATGCACTAGGTCACCCTTTTCATGCTCTCTGGAGCATGAAGTATTGGCTTCTATCAATTAGGATATGGAATTGAACACTTTGATGAGCTATGAAGCACAGATACTTTGAAAATGTTGTCGTACTGATATTGAGTATTTACCAAGTATTGATACTCATATTGATAGGTCTATATGCGTACAAGAAACTCGAAATACGTACCGAGTCCTTTTTATACGTTTTTTGGCAGTTGGGTACTTCATGGGTATGAGATGGATACATCAGGAATATACCAACGTATGAGATAGTGGTGGAGATACATTTAATTTATTAGAGAGTTCTAATTTACTTAAAACTACAAATCCTTTATTTGATGTATTAGAGATGAAAGATGTGTTATATTCAATGATGAAAGTAATGAAAGTGAAAACTGAAATATCAAGTTTTCAAATTTCACTTAGCTTTCTTTTGGAATGAAATTTCGTTTTGTAATTTCTCCTAGTTAATGGCATTAAAATAGCTTATAGACTTTGCTTTGATATTGGTATGGTTGAACTATGATTTGTCTTTTAGTTTTGTAATTTCTCGTTTTAGTTTTGATATTAAACTTTGATTTGTAAATTGAATCTCAAATTATAAATTATAAGAAAAAAAAAATTTATTGACATACCCCAGCCGTACTTATATTTTATTTTTTTTAGATATTTTCGTATCAACCATATCGTATCCGTACTAATATCTATACCTGCATCCGTGCTTCATAATTGATGAGGAAGCAAAGTTGGCAGAACATCTTCCCAAAGTTGTTGCACAACTAACTATAAATAGTTGTGTGACAACTTAATCTTGAAGTTTAGCATTAGCCCATACAAAGATTCAAAATACAACCAAATCCCAACTAGAAAATCTGATAAAATCTATCCCTTAAACCAACATTTTACAGCCCACCTTTGTTTGCTACTGATCCATAACAAATAAACCTTGATGTGGGTTTCTCTCTAATGGAACTTAGACCTCCAACCTTACTCATTTATTTATTTATTATATTTGATGATATGCAAATTGAATTAATTTGTACTATCTAAAAAAAAATTTGCATTAATTTGATAACTATTTAAGTTATGTGAAATGGGGGGTCACTAAAAGTGAATTATGGAATGGTAACTCTATGTATTGAGAAAAAGTACTTACACTTTTATTTAGAAAGAAGTATGTGATCCAAAATTATTTTAAGTGTCAACCTATTATATGAAAGTTGGATACGTTTTTTTTTAAATCTAAAATGGGTGATTATGAAATAGAGAAAACTAGGATGAGCTTCATGGAGCTAAAACCCATAAATAGAATATAACACATTTTTAGGAGAATGCAACACATTACAGTATTAGTATTAAAATGTTATATATGCTCTGGTAATACATACTATAATTTTGCATCATCTCATCACCATTTGATTTAGCTTTAACAATCAGTTTCATTTAAACATGTGAGAAAATAGAAGAAATAATTATGATTTCTTTCATGGGTGATTAAAAAATTAGAATCTCGTTTGGATGGGTAAAAAAAATAAAGTGAAAGAGGCATATGAGTGAACATTATTATCATTATTTATATTTTAATGGACAATATTATAACAAATTTATAACCAATCAATTTATTTATTACAAAATAACACCATTTTTGGTGTTAAAAAAATGAAAAAAAAAACACAATAAAAGAATCGTATTTCTCGCAATTTATTAATTTAATTTTTAAACCAAAAATAATAAATAATTATCCTTCTCTTTATTTTTTATCATTTCTAACAAAATCATGAGAAATATTATGACAACTTGACCGCTAAACCAACTATAATTAGAAAGGCAACACAATTACCATGCTCAACAACCATTTTTAATCTAAATTTTAGAAGAAATAAACAATTCCCATAATGAGAGAGGAACAAACATCATAAATATCAAAAAAAATTTCATTATACAGTACTTGCACAATTACTAGATCAAATGAAGTGATTACAAACATGCTTGTCCAACCGGGAAAAAAAATAGTCATAATAATAACATCTTCATTATGACACTTTGTACCACATGACTTACTATCATAATTTAATGAACCATAATCAAACATTTTTGAGGCATAAACAAATCTCTCTTTGATGATAACCACAATTATAATTAGAATAGATCATAATTAAGTCATAATCAACAACGTAACGTGTCATAACTAAACTCTATCTCATTTTACAACAACATAGGTTCCGTTTGGGGAAAAAAAATCAGGCTTTTTTGGCTAAAATAGCCACAAAAAACAAAATAGGCTATTTTAGCCACAAAAAACAAAATATCAAATCTAACATATAATCATTACAATCCTCTCTCATAAAAAAAGCCAAAAAAGTCAAAAAACCAAAAAACCCTTCCCAAACCAGGCTAAAATAGTCAAAAAGCCAAAAAGACAACTCACTTCCCAAACAGAGGCATAAATAAATTATATTATTAATTTATGTAGATCACATTAATCACACACATCTTTTATATAATAAAATATAAAAATTTATAAGTCATATTTAAAATAACATGTGAAGCATAAGCACGTATGTTTAGGATTAAAACTAAAATAATAATATTAAACATTGTTTAAGAATATGTTATTTTAATAATTTTTTCCTCTTTATAAAAAATGTATAAATTTTTTTTTTAAAAAAAATAATGTGATAACCAATAAAAAGGTGTGTTTGGTTTGTGTTTGTAGAGTTGTTTTTTAGATGAAAAGTACGTAAATTTGTTTGGTTTGTTTTTTTTAGAAATGGTTTTGGAAAATTGTTTTGGAGAGAGAGTTTTAAAAAATGTGATTGATTTGATGTGTATGAGAGAGAGTGTGATTTTGGAAAATAGATAACCAAACAAATTTTTGAGATTTTTTTAGAAAAATTTATTTGATTTAATTACTCTTAAAAATTTGTTTGTAAAGAATTTTTCCTAATTTTTTTTCTGAAAAACAAACCAAACAAGACTATAATTTTTTTTTTTTTTTTACTAAAATATATACTTGTGAAGGAAGTCTTAAGTCATAAATAAATTATTACAATTAAAAGTACAAAAATCGTAAAAGAAAGAAAAAATGAAGCGCTAAAGATTGGCAGCAGAACAGAAGGGAGGCGAATAGGAGTTGCGATGTCGATCAAATTTATCAACATATCATCATCTCCTCCGCCGTTTCTTCGGACTCCTCACGTCTCTTTTACTCCTCTTCCTTTCATAACCCAAATCAAGGTAGCCCCTCATGTGCGAATTCATATATGTCAAACCCATATGTTTCAATCATTTTGACGTTTTTGTTTTCACTGTTTTGATGAAGAATGGTTGGACTAGGCGAATTCCGATGCTCCGTGTGAAGTGCTTAACAGAGCCCAGCAGAGATATGGAATCCGAAGCTGAGACTGAGACGTTGTCTTCTGCGAGCATTTCATCATACAGTTGGTGTGCAGGACTCGGAGGGCTTGGGTTTCTGGAGACCAGTTACTTGACCTACCTCAAGCTCACTAATTCTGATGCCTTTTGCCCAATTGGCGGTGCCACTTGCGGCGACATCCTCAACAGCGACTACGCCTCTGTTTTTGGTATTCTCTTCTTCTCTCTTCTGTGTTTACTTTTGTTTTTCAATTCTGGCTATTCAGAAAAAAATAGATGATATTTTTGTGGAATTTATATCTAGTATTATGAATATAATTTTTTGGGCATTTGGTAAGTGTTCTTGAAGCTAAGAGTTTGTTTTTCTAAGGTTTTCCCTGAATTGGATTAGAGAATATATATAATTAGGGGTTGAAAATTTTGAAATTGACCAGCTAAGCACCTTGTTCGTGTGGGTAATGTAATTTTTATGTATGAGATGTTGAACTGGTTGCCTTTTTCTTTTTCTTTTTCTTTTTTTCACTATTGGGGTTTGAATGTGGCAAGCTAGATAATTTTGTTCATAGGATTCGAAATTTGTTGTTGCAATTGTAGAGGTGGACACATTTGTGCCTAAAAGGGGTGAATATGAATAGGCCACAAGCTCTTTGTACAAATCACCATTTAAAACCAATGCTCAAAGTTTAGTGATTGAGACTAAACAGTCCAATTCAGTTATAAATATAGTAAGCAATAGCAATTGCAATACCAACATCAATACTAATGTCAATCACATAAATCAAGTACACACGATTTACATATTTGAGAACAAAGGACAAACTACACTATAGGCACACCTAGCAGATAAAAAGTCACTTTCAATTAAGAGTTTATAGATTCAAAACAGAAGGACTTACAACTCCAATATGCCTCATTCAAACTCCACAAACTCAGCATTCAATCTTCACTCTTCGTGGTTCTAAAATTTATGTTATCCTTCTCTTGATTTGATAGTCAAACCATGGAACCCCTCGCTCCAATCTCCACTTCTTGCAGCTTTGACACTCAAACGACAAAGGCTAAGTATGCAGTTCGAATATGTTTTTTTTTTGCTATGAGTACTCAATCAAGAAACTCTCTATATGATGTGATAAAGCATTAAGGACCATTACAAGTATTGAGAAACATGGGTTTCATAAACTTTTGAATGCATTAGGGTTTCTCTCTCTCAAAAGCTGCTAGAATTTGTGGTCTCTCTTTAATAGAATACCTTATGTATAGGTTAAAGCAAGTGAATTGATTTCTTAGCCTACTTGGAGAGAAGATCAAGACACGAGTTTAGAATGTATTGTTGACTAAGCTTGAAGTTCACAACAGAACCTTACACATAATGTTTATATGGTTTATTGATTTTGTTTGTTTGTTTGTTTGTTTGTTTCTGAATATATACCAGTTTTTATTTAATCTTGTGCATTTTATTGCCCTTTTAATTTCACTAATTTATTTTATTTTCCTCAAGTAATTGTATAGTTGACAAGAGATATACACTATACAACGCTCATACGTCATGAAAGTTTTTGAAAGAAGGTTTCAGTGATGGTCCTTTTGCATTTTACAGGTGTTCCTCTTCCATTGATTGGAATGTTTGCATATGGATTAGTTACAATACTTGGTATACAGTTGGCTGGAAAGCACTTGCCTTTCAAGATGGACGAAAATAATGGTCTCTTGATCTTACTTGGAAGCACCACCTCCATGGCTGTTGCCAGTGCATACTTCTTGTACATTCTAAGCACAAAATTTCCGGGATCATCTTGCTCATACTGTTTAATGTCAGCTCTGTTGTCATTCAGCTTGTTTTTTACCACTATAAAGGTTTTACTTACTTTTTGTAAATTTATTCTCCTTTTGACCTATCAACAAATAAATATTTGTGTTTTTCATATTACAACAAAACCAATATCTTCCTTGGTGGGTTGTATTACAGGCTTTTGGGTTGCAAGAAATACAAAAAGTGGTAGGTTTACAGCTATGCTTAGGTGGATTGGTGGTTGCTATTTTAAGCACCTCATATAATACTTCTCTATCTGTCCCTACAAGGTATTTCAATCCCACTTTTATATCATTATTTCTTATCCTAGGAACCTAATTTGAATACCAAGTCCCATCGTAAGGATTGGGTGGGAGTTTGCAGGTTGGGATAGTTTACTGTGAATCCATGCAAATCTATGGCTCTAGAATAGTGGTTCACAGATCGGGCCACAAAAGCTTTAGGCCTATAACTTTTGTCATCTACAACGTTATGACACCCCCATACAGTGTCCCCTACAACGTTATGACACCACCATACAGTGTCCTCTACAACGTTATGACACCACCATCCAGTGTCTTCACCAATGGTCTGACACGACCATACCGTGTCTCCTATCCTCTTTTATTTTTATGTATTTTCTTGTTTTGTTACTCTCTCCAAACTCAAGTTGGTTAGTTTCTATCCTCCTTGAGTTTGCGGGGGGCTGTTAAAATTTACCATCACCTACCACCAATTTACCATCACCTACTCCTCACCTACTCCTCACCTACTACACTCACCCTCTCCTATATAATGAGCCACTCACCATTTGTAATATATATACAACATCAATACATCAATCAATTATACATCTATTTCTTACATTTAATTGCATTGAAAGCTTGGGAAATTCTAATATACACCACTTTAAAAAGGGTGTATCATATGCACCCTTAGTTATGCCATTTTCTTCTTTAGTTATGACCAATTTTCTTTTTTAGTTATGACATTATTTTAGGAAGTGCTACTTTCTTCATTCATTTCAGGAAGTTTAGTCAACTGATAAGTGCACGTATCTAAGTAAGTGCACTTATTTAGCTGGTCTTAACTAGTTGTGTGCTTTGAAGTATTGTTTTGTTTCCAGAATCCCATAAAAACTTGCCACATCAATATTGGGTTTCCATTCTGCAGTCTTACACGTTAAACTTATTGCTGTATCATGTTAAGTTTGTATGCAATGCTTTGATGTTCTAGCCCGTGCTTAGTTAAAGGAGCAAGTCATCAATCCTCCTTTGATGTACTGCATGAGATAAGATTAGCTCTCAACTGATCTGATTAGAAAAAAAGGACTTGTCCTTAGTTACCCAGGATATACCTCTATTTGGATGCCACGATAATTCTCTTCAGTAATACATGGTTATTTTTAAATGTGGTCTTTTGTGTTTACATTAATTATCTAAGCAATAAGGACTTTCTGTTATTATATGTTTTGCTTTATATTTGGAGGGAAAAAAAATGCATGATTTTGGTTTGTAGCAAGGAAACATTTATCTAGATCTGTACCCTTTTTCTGAACAGCTCTGCTGAGATTGATCTGCCACTATTTACAACTGAAATAACAACAGAATCAAGTCCTTTCACTCTTGCTCTTGCTAGGCATCTACATTCCATAGGAGCTAAAATGTATGGGGCTTTTTGGTGTTCGCATTGTCAAGAGCAAAAACAGGTACTTCCTTTTCTGCAATTGCCTCCTGTCTAAATTACCTGCTGACATATGTAGAATCAATAAGACACTGAAGTTTACAAAATAATAAAAAAATAAGAAAGTTGAGATGTGTACAATCACTTCATGTTCAATTTTGTCTTCGTGGTGGTCTCAACCCTAGAAGGCCAAAAATCAATTTCTTGGACATGAGACGCAAATCATTATTTTTAATTCCAACAGTTCAACCAGGATTGTCAACAAATATTCACAAAATTTTTTATAATGACTAGCATGTTCATGTGTGGCATGTTCCATGCAAGTACTAGATATCCTTGTGAAGTTCCACATATTGATTTCTTGGGTTCAATAAAGACATTGGAATTCCACATTCAATGATGCACTTGTAATGCTTAAAGAAAAGACAATATTACTGCATTTCCAAAAGCTTTTGATTGGATTTTTAGAGGCTTTTCATCCCATTAACAGTACAATCATACTCTCTTGGCTCATTTATGTAGATGTAGTTGGGGACCGCTATTATGTAGCAACATGATCCCATACTTCATCAACACCTATCCAATTTTACTGACGAAGTAACTCTCATGACATTTGAAGGGTCATGCTCCTTGCCAGCCCTCCTCTCCCTCCACCCATAGCTTTGACAGAGTTCAATTTAAATGAAAGTCCAACCTTCTTTGTTGGCATATACTTATTTTTGTTTGTATTCTTTGGGCTGCCCACATTCCAATTGATTGTGATTGTATTCTCTGCCTTACCTTGTAAGGAATTGTAAGATTTCATTTATTTGCACTGCCTGCTGTCTTTTTTTATGCAGACATTTGGACGTGAAGCAGCAAAGTTGTTAGACTATGTGGAATGCTTCCCTGATGGATATAGGAAAGGGATTAAAATAGCCAAGGCATGTGCCGATGCTAGAATTGAAGGGTTTCCAACATGGGTAATTAATGGTGAGGTGAGGAACCTCTATGCTGCTAAACCTATGCTCTTTGTTATGGTTAGCATGTTTCAGATAGTGGATTTCACTTTCACCCCACTAGCATTCTGGAATCTTCATATCAATTAAGTGTTAATGTGGTTTAACCATTTTCGGGCCTGTGTGAGTGTGATGCCTAGGTCTCGCTGAGTGATGCCTAGATCTCACTGCCATTTTTTTTTTTTTGTTCAACGGGACTTCTCGTGTTTTTTAAACAAGCAAAATGATATGGGATATCCAACTCATAATGTTGGACTGCCTTTTCGAAAGTAATTGGTAGATAACTTTGAGTAAGTGGAGATTAAAATAGTGATTGACTGGATCAATTTTTATGGATTGCGTCAATGGATAGTGCATGTGCAGTGTCTGTAATATGCCCCATATTTTATGTGCAGGTTTTGGGTGGAGAACAAGAATTGTCAGAGCTTGCGAGAGCATCTGGATTCAAACTTGATGATTTTATTCTATCTTAATTATTAGATTTACTCAGTACAGCAGCATTATAGTGGATGTACAGGTCCTAAATTATCTCTAAGGTTACGAACTCAAGAGCCTGGGTTCTCTGTAACACTACTTGTAATTGTTGTTATCTGCACAAATATAGCCTGACAAAAAATGAAAAAGAGAGGGAAGGGATTTGGCCTTGCTCATTTTTAGTAAACACTATTTGGAAGCGCATTAAAATCTCGGTGCTGATGAATGAGAATGTTTTTTCTTTAATAAAAAACGTTAAAGAAAATTAGGGCATGTCACTTTGCTCAAGTTGTACGTGTACATAATTCTCATGTCATTTCAAGATAAATGGTTTCATTTTTTGTAAGGGAAGAGAGTGAGACCTCCGCTGGGGGTGACTCCCACCACCCCCAGTTAATTCTAATTGGTTTATTTTTTATTTTTTTATCCTCCTCTTGCTGCCCCCTAGGTGTATGTGGGGTGCTGGGGGTCCAACTGGAGGTCTGGGTTATCACTGTTTTTGTAATTTGTGGACTAAAACACAACTCATAATACGCGGGTAGGGTAAAAATGAGAGGAGAGAAATAAGATATGAGATTTTAAGTCAAATTTTCAAGCATGAAGAGAGGAATAAAATGAAAACTACGCACTACAAAATTAAAGCCAAAGCCTACGAACGATTAGCATACCAGTATAAGATTTATCCTCGTATCTATTTTTATTTTTTATTTTTAAATATTTAAGTAAAAAATTTAAGTTTATAGATTTTAAATATTAAGTAAAAAATTTAATTTTTTTACGTTCTAGTTCTTTAAATTAAATTAAGATGATATTTGTTTGATGGAAAGAATGAGAAATTTAAGATTAAAGAGATTTGTTTTTTCAAATCCAAGAATTGTAAATACTAGTTAAATATTTTATTGAATTTTGAGAACAAGCTAATTTAATAATTTTTTAACTATTTAACTAAAATATGAAGTAAAAAAAATTAATATATTTGAGATAATTTTTTAATTTTTTATCTATTTAACTAAATATAAAATAAAAAAAATTAATATATTTGAGATGATTTTTTAATTTTTTACAAATAAATGTGCAAAATATAAAAAAGAACAAAAAATTTTTAACTTTCTAGTATTAATTATTAATTTTTTAACTAATTTAATTACTTTTTAACTAAAAACAATTCCCAAACGAAGCCTTACATTTATTAACAATTGAGGAGAGAGAAAACACAAGCAACGGAGACTTTCTTAAAACCAAGAAATTAGGACTAGAGTTTGTAGGGCTTAACCCCAGAGGGGAAGGCCCTTCCAGAAATTCTCGACGGCCTAAGGCGTAACCAAAGGCCGAAGAGGGGGTTTGGAAATAGTTTTCAACCAGCAATTGACGCGCCTCGGTTATTACCTCACTAGCTGCGTCATTGCCCCAAGCGCAAAGATGCTTCTACATTTGTCATCTCCTCTTATTTTATACTCAACCACCTCTGTCTCTCTCTTTCATGCTTCCGATGTGGGATTTGCTTTCCTTCATAAATCCCTAGTAATCTGAAATCAAAATTACTATCCAAGTGGTATTCATATCCAGTCAAGCAATTCCCATGAAAGGCTGCTTTACTTCTAAACATTTAAAAGTCCCAAAAAAAATTCTAAGATTTGAAAGTACTTAGTTCAGCATTCAGAATATAACCAGATTTCTAACATGTATTCCTATCGTGGCTAAATGAGATAAATTCTTGTTAAAAAATAAAATTAAAAAAAAAAACTATTGAGAGGTCTAATTTAGCAATTGTCTAAGGCAATAGGTCAGGTCCAGTGGACATTTTTTATTGGTAAGAGGCTCACTTTTTGTAAAATAGTTTAGTGGGAAGTCCATTTATTATTTTAGAGGACATTTTGTTTTTAATTTTATCCCTTAATTTACTTGTTTAATTTTTTTAACTATTTGTTTAATGTTTTGACTATCTGTTCCAATATTTTTTAATACGTTTAATTTTTTTTACTATCTGTCAAATTTTGTATCTATCTATTGGAATATCTATCTACTGAAATTCTTTATCTATTCAATTTTTTCACCAATCTGTTGAAATCTATCTGTTCAAATATTTTATTTGTTTAAAAAAATTATCTATTCAAACTTTTGTATCTATTCAATTTTTTCTATCCGGTCGATTTTTTATCCCAAAATATTTTATCTGCTCAATCGGTCAAAGCTGGTGACTGTAAAAAAGTTTGTGAAAATGTTGGATCCATGATAGGTTGAGATAATATTAATATTAATATTAATACAACCTATCATGGATCCAACATTTTCACAAACTTTTTTACAGTCACCAGCTTTGACCGATTGAGCAGATAAAATATTTTGGGATAAAAAATCGACCGGATAGAAAAAATTGAATAGATACAAAAGTTTGAATAGATAATTTTTTTAAACAAATAAAATATTTGAACAGATAGATTTCAACAGATTGGTGAAAAAATTGAATAGATAAAGAATTTCAGTAGATAGATATTCCAATAGATAGATACAAAATTTGACAGATAGTAAAAAAAATTAAACGTATTAAAAAATATTGGAACAGATAGTCAAAACATTAAACAAATAGTTAAAAAAATTAAACAAGTAAATTAAGGGATAAAATTAAAAACAAAATGTCCTCTAAAATAATAAATGGACTTCCCACTAAACTATTTTACAAAAAGTGAGCCTCTTACCAATAAAAAATGTCCACTGGACCTGACCTATTGCCTTAGACAATTGCTAAATTAGACCTCTCAATAGTTTTTTTTTTTAATTTTATTTTTTAACAAGAATTTATCTCATTTAGCCACGATAGGAATACATGTTAGAAATCTGTTTATATTCTGAATGCTGAAATAAGTACTTTCAAATCTTAGAATTTTTTTTGGGACTTTTAAATGTTTAGAAGTAAAGCAGCCTTTCATGGGAATTGCTTGACTGGATATGAATACCACTTGGATAGTAATTTTGATTTCAGATTACTAGGGATTTATGAAGGAAAGCAAATCCCACATCGGAAGCATGAAAGAGAGAGACAGAGGTGGTTCCAATTTTCTTTTTTAGTTATGACATTATTTTAGGAAGTGCTACTTTCTTCATTCATTTCAGGAAGTTTAGTCAACTGATAAGTGCACGTATCTAAGTAAGTGCACTTATTTAGCTGGTCTTAACTAGTTGTGTGCTTTGAAGTATTGTTTTGTTTCCAGAATCCCATAAAAACTTGCCACATCAATATTGGGTTTCCATTCTTCAATCTTACACGTTAAACTTATTGCTGTATCATGTTAAGTTTGTATGCAATGCTTTGATGTTCTAGCCCGTGCTTAGTTAAAGGAGCAAGTCATCAATCCTCCTTTGATGTACTGCATGAGATAAGATTAGCTCTCAACTGATCTGATTAGAAAAAGAGGACTTGTCCTTAGTTACACAGGATATACCTCTATTTGGATGCCATGATAATTCTCTTCAGTAATACATGGTTATTTTAAATGTGGTCTTTTGTGTTTACATTAATTATCTAAGCAATAAGGACTTTCTGTTATTATATGTTTTGCTTTATATTTGGAGGGAAAAAAAAATGCATGATTTTGGTTTGTAGCAAGGAAACATTTATCTAGAGCTGTACCCTTTTTCTGAACAGCTCTGCTGAGATTGATCTGCCACTATTTACAACTGAAATAACAACAGAATCAAGTCCTTTCACTCTTGCTCTTGCAAGGCATCTACATTCCATAGGAGCTAAAATGTATGGGGCTTTCTGGTGTTCGCATTGTCAAGAGCAAAAACAGGTACTTCCTTTTCTGCAATTGCCTCCTGTCTAAATTACCTGCTGACATATGTAGAATCAATATGACACTGATGTTTACAGAATAATAAAAAAAATAAGAAAGTTGAGATGTGTACAATCACTTCATGTTCAATTTTGTCTTCGTGGTGGTCTCAACCCTAGAAGGCCAAAAATCAATTTCTTGGACATGAGACGCAAATCATTATTTTTAATTCCAACAGTTCAACCAGGATTGTCAACAAATATTCACAAAATTTTTTATAATGACTAGCATGTTCATGTATGGCATGTTCCATGCAAGTACTAGATATCCTTGTGAAGTTCCACATATTGATTTCTTGGGTTCAATAAAGACATTGGAATTCCACATTCAATGATGCACTTGTAATGCTTGAAGAAAAGACTTACTGCATTTCCAAAAGCTTTTGATTGGATTTTTAGAGGCTTTTCATCCCATTAACAGTACAATCATACTCTCTTGGCTCATTTATGTAGATGTAGTTGGGGACCGCTATTATGTAGCAACATGATCCCATACTTCATCAACACCTATCCAATTTTACTAACGAAGTAACTCTCATGACATTTGAAGGGTCATGCTCCTTGCCAGCCCTCCTCTCCCTCCACCCATAGCTTTGACAGAGTTCAATTTAAATGAAAGTCCAACCTTCTTTGTTGGCATATACTTATTTTTGTTTGTATTCTTTGGGTTGTCCACATTCCAATTGATTGTGATTGTATTCTCTGCCTTACCTTGTAAGGAATTGTAAGATTTCATTTATTTGCACTGCCTGCTGTCTTTTTTTATGCAGACATTTGGACGTGAAGCAGCAAAGTTGTTAGACTATGTGGAATGCTTCCCTGATGGATATAGGAAAGGGATTAAAATAGCCAAGGCATGTGCCGATGCTAGAATTGAAGGGTTTCCAACATGGGTAATTAATGGTGAGGTGAGGAACCTCTATGCTGCTAAACCTATGCTCTTTGTTATGGTTAGCATGTTTCAGATAGTGGATTTCACTTTCACCCCACTAGCATTCTGGAATCTTCATATCAATTAAGTGTTAATGTGGTTTAACCATTTTCGGGCCTGTGTGAGAGTGATGCCTAGGTCTCACTGAGTGATGCCTACATCTCACTGCCATTTTTTTTTTTTTTGTTCAACGGGACTTCTCGTGTTTTTTAAACAAGCAAAATGATATGGGATATCCAACTCATAATGTTGGACTGCCTTTTCGAAAGGAATAGGTAGATAACTTTGAGTAAGTAGAGATTAAAATAGTGATTGACTGGATCAATTTTTATGGATTGCGTCAATGGATAGTGCATGTGCAGTGTCTGTAATATGCCCCATATTTTATGTGCAGGTTTTGGGTGGAGAACAAGAATTGTCAGAGCTTGCGAGAGCATCTGGATTCAAACTTGATGATTTTATTCTATCTTAATTATTAGATTTACTCAGTACAGCAGTATTATAGTGGATGTACAGCTCCTAAATTATCTCTAAGGTTACGAACTCAAGAGCCTGGGTTCTCTGTAACACAACTTGTAATTGTTGTTATCTGCACAAATATAGCCTGACAAAAAATGAAAAAGAGAGGGAAGGGATTTGGCCTTGCTCATTTTTAGTAAACACTATTTGGAAGTGCATTAAAATCTCGGTGCTGATGAATGAGAATGTTTTTTCTTTAATAAAAAACGTTAAAGAAATTAGGGCATGTCACTTTGCTCAAGTTGTACGTGTACATAATTCTCATGTCATTTCAAGATAAATGGTTTCATTTTTTGTAAGGGAAGAGAGTGAGACCTCTGCTGGGGGTGACTCCCACCACCCCCAGTTAATTCTAATTGGTTCATTTTTTATTTTTTTATCCTCCTCTTGCTGCCCCCCAGGTGTATGTGGGGTGCTGGGGGTCCAACTGGAGGTCTGGGTTATCACTGTTTTTGTAATTTGTGGACTAAAACACTACTCATAATACGCGGGTAGGGTAAAAATGAGAGGAGAGAAATAAGATATGAGATTTTAAGTCAAATTTTCAAGCATGAAGAGAGGAATAAAATGAAAACTACGCACTACAAAATTAAAGCCAAAGCCTACGAACGATTAGCATACCAGTATAAGATTTATCCTCGTATCTATTTTTATTTTTTATTTTTAAATATTTAAGTAAAAAATTTAAGTTTATAGATTTTAAATATTAAGTAAAAAGTTTAATTTTTTTACGTTCTAGTTCTTTAAATTAAATTAAGATGATATTTGTTTGATGGAAAGAATGAGAAATTTAAGATTAAAGAGATTTGTTTTTTCAAATCCAAGAATTGTAAATACTAGTTAAATATTTTATTGAATTTTGAGAACAAGCTAATTTAATAATTTTTTAACTATTTAACTAAAATATGAAGTAAAAAAAATTAATATATTTGAGATAATTTTTTAATTTTTTATAAAAAAATATGCAAAAAATAAGAAAGAACAAAAAATTTTAACTTTTTAATATTAATTGTTAATTTTTTAAATAACTTAAAAACTTTATAACTAAAAAATAATTCCCAAACGAGGCCTTACATTTGTTAACAATTGAGGAGAGAGAAAAAACAAGCAACGGAGACTTCCTTAAAACCAAGAAATTAGAACTAGAGTTTGTAGGGCTTAACCCCAGAGGGGAAGGCCCTTCCAGAAATTCTCGACGGCCTAAGGCGTAACCAAAGGCCGAAGAGGGGGTTTGGAAATAGTTTTCAACCAGCAATTGACGCGCCTCGGTTATTACCTCACTAGCTGCGTCATTGCCCCAAGCGCAAAGATGCTTCTACATTTGTCATCTCCTCTTATTTTATACTCAACCACCTCTGTCTCTCTCTTTCATGCTTCCGATGTGGGATTTGCTTTCCTTCATAAATCCCTAGTAATCTGAAATCAAAATTACTATCCAAGTGGTATTTCATATCCAGTCAAGCAATTCCCATGAAAGGCTGATGGTGTCCGACTGTACATTTTTGGTGTTTCTCATAATCTCTTTGTTAAGGCCAAGTTTGAGAAGATTAAGGGCTAGTTTGGCATGTACTAAATAAGTCAAAAAGTCAAAAAGTCACTATCTTATTTAAGTTACATCATCTTATTTAAATCACATCACCTCTCTAGCACATCACATCAAACCCAACCCAAACCCACCAATAAGTCAAAAAGTTCACTTTTTTAGGACATCCCAAACCAACCCTAAATAAGTGTATTTTTTGATTTTTCTTGTATTATGTGTAGAAAAAGTAGAGAGGAGATGTTGATTAATGTGACCCAAAAAAGATAAAAAAGATGAAATAAGTGCACTTTTTTAGTTTAGCCAAACTTGGCCTAAATATATATATATATGTATATTACTTTTAAATCTTTGGTGATTTTTTTTTAAAAATTTACTTTTTAGGTCTGTCTACTCTAAAAGGATATAAAAATAATTTTTTTAATTTTATTTTCAATAGACTTTTTGAGAAATTTTCTCTCTTTTTTTTTTTATAAAAAAAAATTCACGTTCATCTTGTCTAATAGAATATAAAAGTGAAAAGTGTTTGAAATTATTTTAAAATTTCACTAAAAATGAAAAAATCAACCAATTTTTTTTTGTTAAAACAAACATTGGCTAAACCCAGCCGAAATCATGGTTTTGATTCACCCCCTTTCCAAACAAGTATGCTTTACTTCTAAATATTTAAAAGTCCCAAAAAAAATTCTAAGATTTGAAAGTACTTATTTCAGCATTCAGAATATAAACAGATTTCTAACATGTATTCCTATCGTGGCTAAATGAGACAAATTCTTGTTAAAAAATAAAATTAAAAAAAAAAACTATTGAGAGGTCTAATTTAGCAATTGTCTAAGGCAATAGGTCAGGTTCAGTGGACATTTTTTATTGGTGAGAGGCTCACCTTTTGTAAAATAGTTTAGTGAGAAGTCCATTTATTATTTTAAAGGACATTTTGTTTTTAATTTTATCCCTTAATTTACTTGTTTAATTTTTTTAACTATTTGTTTAATTTTTTGACTATAGTTCAAATATTTTTTAATATGTTTAATTTTTTTGATTATCTGTCAAATTTTGTATCTATCTATTGGAATATCTATCTACTGAAATTCTTTATCTATTCAATTTTTTCACTAATCTGTTGAAATCTATCTGTTCAAATATTTTATTTGTTTAAAAAAATTATCTATTCAAACTTTTGTATCTGTTCAATCTTTTCTATCTGTTCGATTTTTTATCCCAAAATATTTTATCTGCTCAATCGGTCAAAGCTGGTGACTGTAAAAAAGTTTGTGAAAATGTTGGATCCATGATAGGTTGAGATAATATTAATATTAATATTAATAAATAATACACAACTCTTGAGTCCAACAATGGCTTCTCCGTATGAATCTGTCTCTCTGCCAATTTCACAAAAATTCAATTAAAAGAATTACACCTCCGATACATATATGTAGAAAAACAAGCCGAGCCAGAGAGAAACAGATAATAAGAAAAAATAAGTTCCAAACTCAAATTATAAACAGCAAAAAGAACCAAAATTTAGAGGGACTTATGTATTGATCCTAATAGGTAAATTTATTGCCCAATAATAATTAATGATGTTTTTTATCAAATAATATTAAAAATGTTATTAATTATTAATTTTCAACGGCAGTTTAAAAATTGTCATATAAAATATTCCTAATTATAAATTTTAGCGACAGTTTAAAAAAATTATCACAAAAAATGATTAATTTTCAATTTTCAACGACAATTTAGAAAATTCGTTACAAAAAAACGTCATTAATTATAAATTTTAGTGACAATTTATAAAAATTGTGATAAAAAAGACATTTATTGTCAATTTTTAGTGACACATGTAAAAAATTATCACAAAAAATTATTTTTAACGACTATTTTATTAAAACTTATTTTTAATAGGATTTGATAAAAATTAAGCCTAACTATTAAAACTTATTAGTAATTTAAGGGAATATTGTATATATATGTGTGTGTGTGTGTGTGTGAATATTACATATGTTAGCAGATATTTTAATATTATAATGTGTTATAGATTATATTATGTGATTGGGCTCCAAATAACTTTTGTTAATCCTTTCTTTTCCTGCAAGGAAACTTGCCCACCAAGTTTCCAAAACAAGTCTTCCTAGATAAGTCTTCCAAGTCTTTCAAGTCTTCTTCTCAAGTCTTCCAAGGAAATTGCTCACCAATTTCCTTTCCTATTCTTATCCACTAAGTGTCTTCTCCTCCAAGCCACTTGCCTAACATGCTTCATCTTCTATAAATTGATCTAACTTCTTATCTTGGAGGTGAGAATAAGTTTTTGTTGCTTTATTATGTTTTGTGTGAGATTATCAAGCAAATAAAAAATGGTGTATGTGATAAAACTTTGGGTTCAACCAATTGTGCAGTATTGGTAAACCATACGACTTAGTCGGCCTGTTGTATCCTGGGGGAGACAAGTCAAAGTTTTTCTGCTGCACCGGTGTGAGACTTTGCCTAACCGCAGAGGGCTTGAATCTCCTTAAAGAGAGCGAATTTCCCGTGCCTCAACCCTTACAATAGTTATTGTAATTTTTATTATTTGTATTTTCTGGTGTTTTATTTGTAATTATCACCAACAGTATATACATATACACAATATTCACTAACAATTTATTTAAAAAATCAAGCTAGGAAGTAGAATCATATAGGCAACTCAGTCCCTTAGATGTTCATAATGAATTTGCGATCATATCCGCAGATCATTACAGGCTTGCATTGGCTCATCACTGTTGCACAATTAAACTCCTTTCAAAAAAATTATTACATGAATATATAGGCAATGATGGATCTTGGGAATTTGCGATCATATCCGCAGATCATTACAGGCTTGCATTGGCTCATCACTGTTGCACAATTAAACTCCTTTCAAAAAAATTATTACATGAATATATAGGCAAGGATGGATCTTGGGAATTTGCGATCATATCCGCAGATCATTACAGGTTTGTATTGGCTCATCACTGTTGCACAAATAAACTCCTTTCAAAAAAATTATTACATGAATATATAGGCAAGGATGGATCTTGGGAATTTGCGATCATATCCGCAGATCATTACAGGCTTGCATTGGCTCATCACTGTTGCACAATTAAACTCCTTTCAAAAAAATTATTACATGAATATATAGGCAAGGATGGATCTTGGGAATTTGCGATCATATCCGCAGATCATTACAGGTTTGTATTGGCTCATCACTGTTGCACAATTAAACTCCTTTCAAAAAAATTATTACATGAATATATAGGCAAGGATGGATCTTGGGAATTTGCGATCATATCCGCAGATCATTACAGGTTTGTATTGGCTCATCACTGTTGCACAATTAAACTCCTTTCAAAAAAATTATTACATGAATATATAGGCAAGGATGGATCTTGGGAATTTGCGATCATATCCGCAGATCATTACAGGTTTGTATTGGCTCATCACTGTTGCACAATTAAACTCCTTTCAAAAAAATTATTACATGAATATATAGGCAAGGATGGATCTTGGGAATTTGCGATCATATCCGCAGATCATTACAGGTTTGTATTGGCTCATCACTGTTGCACAATTAAACTCCTTTCAAAAAAATTATTACATGAATATATAGGCAAGGATGGATCTTGGGAATTTGCGATCATATCCGCAGATCATTACAGGTTTGTGAAGGATAAAAAAAATTTCAACTAAAGTTTTTTTTTTTTTTTTTAAATGTTTGGTTTGATACTAGAATCTGGATCTATTTATATTCCTTGTTTATATGTTCTTTTCTTTTGTGTTTATGTCTTTTAATTTGTTATTGGTTGTTAACTTGTAGGAGTTGCGATGAATATCTGATAATTGTTATTGGTACAATTGTTAACTAAATATTGTGAATTTTTTTTTAATACTATGATTTATTGTAATTGGTAGGTACTGTGTTGTGTGATTTCTTGATAATTGAATAGGCTTTTAGGTTATGATTTGTTGATTTCCTCTAAGAATTTGGATAAAAATCTAAATGTTATTTTGTGCGGCCATATATTTTATGACTTTTAGGAATAGGATAGGATTGTGCTAGGATATAAGATTCTGAAAGTTATTTTTTAGAGTCTGTTTACATTAAAAATATAGTGCAATAATAATTATTATTATTCTTAATTGCGTTCTGGTTGTTGAATGATAATTATTGACAATTAAGTTAATCATGGCGAACAAAAAAATCGATTCCTTCTCTAAGAAAAGAGGTTCTGAAAATATCGTTCAAAGTTCCACCAATAATGTTGAAACTTCAACTCCTCCGGAACAACGTCCTTCTAAACTTCCAAGAGTCGAATCTAAAGAAGTTGATACATCTTCTTTGGTGAAGGATCCGGGGTTGCGTTAACAAATATGGGATTACCCGGTATGTGAACGTGATAAGATCAAACGTGCTTATATCAAATCCGGGCCATATCAACCCAAGGCTCCGAACAATCAACCTTTGAAACTGATAAGAATGGACGTCGTTTTTTAGATTCTTGGTACAAGTTATTTCCGGATTGGTTGGAATACTCTCCAACAAAAAATCGTGCATTTTGTCTTCCATGTTTTCTTTTTACTAAGCCAACTAGACGCCCTGAATCTAGTGTTTTTACAATTGAGGGATTTTCTTCTTGGAAGAAAGTCAATGAAGGGAAGAATTGTCCTATGCTATCACATATGGGGAAGGATCCTAACTAATCGCATAGAGTTGCTGTCAAATGTTGTTGTGATTTAATAAATCAAGCGCAACATATTG